AGGGGACTCAGGGCGGCTCACAACCCAAGTCAAGGGGGGGGGGGGTACAAATAAGGGGGGAAAAAGAACACGAACAAAACAATGCCACAATTTAAAACACACAACAACAACCATACCATTTGAGAAGGGGGACAAAAGCTCATTAGCCCCAGGCCTGTCGGAACAGCCAGGTTTTAAGGGCTTTGCGGAAAGCCTGAAGGGTGGTGAGGGTCCGAATCTCCACGGGGAGTTCGTTCCAAAGGGCCGGAGCAGCCACAGAGAAGGCCCTCCTCCGGGTGGTCGCCAGTCGGCATTGGCCGGCGGATGGAATTCGGAGGAGGCCTAGTCTGTGGGATCTAATCGGTCTATTGGAGGTAATTGGCAGTAGGCGGTCTCTCAAGTACCCAGGTCAAGGTGGGTAAAACAGGGACCCAGATTGCTGCGGACAAGATTCTGACTCTGTAAACCGCTTAGAGAGGGCTGTGACGCGCTGCGAAGCGGTATATAAGTCTACGCGCGATTGTTACAGCTATGGCTTTTGCAACCATCAAGGAGCCGGCACCGAAATGTCTTTTTCTCTCTTCCAGAGAGCCGTTTGATTTTGGATGCTTTCGCTCATCAGTGCAGCCGAGTCCTCAGCTTGTTAAACTGCGGAGGGAAGCTCCTGGACAGCCATCGCCCTCCGCCGCTGCCCTCCTGCGTGAAGCAGGAGAGCCAGGCGTTTAACGAGAGGGCGGAGCACTGCCAGCAGCTGGGGAAAATGGTCCACAGCCAGACGGCCGAAAACTTCGACTTCGAATTGCAGTACCTGCAGAAGAAGCAGCAGACCTCGGCGTTCCTGCGAGTCTTCACCGATTCCCTCCAGAACTATTTGCTTTCCGGGGGTTTCACCGCGCAGAGCCACTCCTCCTCGGCGGGGGACTTCGGTCCTTTGGCCGACATCGAGCCTCTGTCCACTTCTCCGGTGCACACGCTGGCGGGGTGGGCTTCTCCGGCGACGTCGGAGTCCCACGGTCACCCATCGTCGTCCACGCTCCCCGAGGAGGAGGAAGAGGAGGAGGAAGGCTACTGCCCGCGATGCCAAGAGCTGGAGCAGGAGGTCATTTCGTTGCAACAGGAGAACGAAGAGCTGCGGAGGAAGTTGGAGAGCATTCCAGGTAGGCGGAAGCGGATTGGCTTGAGGTTTCGGGATTGGGATGGGGCACCTTGGGGTGATCAAAGGACTCCCCGTAGCATTTTTTTGATCCGAGAAGGGGGGGATAGAGCAAAGTAATGCAGCTATACAGGTAATCCTCAATATCAGGGTTCCAAAGTGAGATTTGAACAGCCGAACTGCAGAACTGCAGTCAGCTGAAGTAGCCTGCAGTGCTGCATTTAACCACTGCGCCACCTCGGCTCTTGCAGTGTCCCCTGTAGTCACGTGGTCAAAATTTAGACCCTTAGCCGTTGGTTCTTATTTGTGACCGTTACTGGGTCCCAAGATCGCGCGATCCCCCTTTAGCCGCCTTCTGATAAGCCTAGCCAAGGGGAAGCAGAATTCACTTAATGACTAGGTTACTAGAGAGGGACGTCAGAGGCATTACATAAACAGAGGTCCCTTGAGTGGAGGGCATGTGTACATGCACGAAAAGTTCCACTCGCGTGAGTGAAGTTTCCCGCGCAAGTATAAGCGCCCTCTGCTCACACGCATGGAGCTCCATGTGCACACACTGGTCCATTTCTCCCGTGGCTCGGTTTGGAAACAGATCACAGCCCGGCAGTGGACTATGGACTTCGGAACCCTGCGTTACTAAGTTTTGTCCTTAATCGAACCAGCACGGTGTGATCGCGGGAACTTCCTTGTTTTTTGCAGTGCCCTGCCAAACTGTTTTAGACTATTTGAAGATGGTCCTTCAGCATCATAATCAGCTGATGATCCCGCAGACGGTGGAGCAGCCGGCAGAGGTAGGTTCAGAGGGGAGACACCCGTGGAAAGGTTTGGTCCACATGAGTTCTCCGAAACGTTTTCCGACAGTGAGAACAATCCACCCATGGAACAGGAGTTGCCTTCGGAAGTTGTGGGAGCTTCATCCCTGGAAGCTTTCAAGAAGAGACTGGGCTGCTCTCGGTCAGAAATGGTGTAGGGTCTCCTGCGTGGGCAGGGGATAAACTAGATGACCTCCAAGGTATCTTCCAATTCTGTTAGTCTGTTATTATTCTGTTATTCAGAAGTTGTGGGAGCTTCATCCCTGGAAGCTTTCAAGAAGAGACTGGACTGCCCTCTGTCAGAAATGGTGTAGTGTCTCCAACTTGGGCGGAGGGTTGGACTGGATGATCTACAAGGTCCCTTCCGACTCTGTTCATCTGTTAATCTTCACATTAAGCAGTGCACGTGCTTATGTTCAAAAGCCCCCCCCCTTTTTTTTCTCTTTTGCAAGCCCTTTGTAGCATCATTCCTCGGGTATTAAGGGTGGCACACCGTTGCAAAACTTGATTGCATCCAGAGGATGTTGCTCACCAAAAACTGTGCTATTCTGTGGAAGACGCAGCGGTGTGTAAGTGTTAATGAGTTTGCTGTGCATATATTAAACAGTAATTGAGTGGAGCTCAAAAGTAGAGTGGAGGGAGGGAGAGAGAGAGACAGACAGACAGACACGGAGGGAGGGAGAGAGGGAGAGAGACAGAGAGAGAGACAGAGAGAGACAGACAGACAGACAGACAGACATGGAGGGAGGGAGGAAGAGAGAGAGACAGAGATAGAGACAGAGAGAGAGAGACAGACAGACAGACAGACATGGAGGGAGGGAGGAAGAGAGAGAGACAGAGAGAGAGACAGAGAGAGAGAGACAGACAGACAGACAGACATGGAGGGAGGGAGGGAGAGAGAGAGACAGAGAGAGAGAGAGAGAGAGAGAGACAGACAGACAGTCAGACAGACAGACACAGAGGGAGGGAGGGAGAGAGAGACAGAGAGAGAGACAGAGAGAGAGAGACAGACAGACAGACACGGAGGGAGGGAGAGAGGGAGAGAGACAGAGAGAGAGACAGAGAGAGAGAGACAGACAGACAGACACGGAG